ATTCTTCCCTTCTCGGTAAACCATCGGCACTACTACTTTGCAGACAATATGTTTGATGAACGAAATGAAAACCTGGAACTAGAAGAGGAATTACATATAAGGTCCATCTCGATATGGTTATGTTTGTTTATCAGGGTTCGGGTTTTTGATTTCTAGTTCTGGTGATTAAACTTAAGATGTGGATTCGATTTTTATTCTGATTTAGGTTTGCTTTTGATTTTTGGTGTATGTGTGTTCTGGTGAGTGATAGTCAAAGAATGGATTTGACTCGATAAAAAGTTTGGCTAGAGAAGATTATCGAAAAAAGGGTTTGTTTGAGAACATCAAAACTCATTGTTCGGAAAAACACCACTGACAATCCATTTAAAATAATTGAAAACTAGCCATTCAGACCCTAAGGTCCGGTTACCCGAGGTCCAATATAGCTCGATTTATGTTGAAAAACCGATAACAACTGCATTCGATCGTTTACGCTATCAGTTGGGCTAGACCCGGTTGCATTACAGTTACAAGGACCATGTTATAGATGGCTATCTCTAATGTAACGCAATTGATTTGGAACTCACCCGCTATAAATACCCAATTTAGAATTTTAAAAACCCTAAAAAGAATTTGAAAACCCTTTGGAAATTGGAATCGTAGGTGCAAAATGGGGAACCGTTGCATTGACGATGATATACTCACCATCCTGTGGACGCCGGAGCAACTCTTTCAGAAAGTCTGCGAATTGGCTTCTCAAATCACTTATGATTTCTCTACTCCAAACTCTTCTCCACCGGTGGTCGTCGGCGTTGCAACCGGTGCCTTCCTCTTCCTTGCCGACCTCGTCCGCAACATCAGATTGCCCGTCACCGTCGATTTTGTTCGTGCTGAATCGTATGGCTCCGGAACTACTGCCGCCGGTGCTCCCAAGATTTCATGTGATCTGAAACTTGATGTTGCCGGAAAACATATCATTCTGGTACTTATTTCCCCCCCTTACATTTGTGCTGCATGTTCACTTTGAGATTAGATTTTTTGTATGATTGTTTCGTCCGGCGATAAATCGAGAAGAAGATTAACCTTCCTAACAAATTCATCTACTCATTTAGAAGCTAGGTGATGGAATTGTGTATAATGATGCTGGATTTCTTCTTATGATAATTTAGAAGCTAGACTCTTCACCTAAATAAATTTCTCAAGATATTGGTGAATGTTGGATTTCTTCTTATGATAATTAAACCTATGAATTGTTAAACCAGCTAGGGTTTATCCGTTTATGTTAATTTACCCAATGTACAAATGGCATGCACTGTGCTCAATGATGTATGTATTTAGATGTAGAACCCTCCTGAGTGTTCCCCTTGGAAGATAGTGATATGATCAAGAATGAAAGGGTGAGAAGATTTGATGGTTTGGTGGAAAGAATTTGCATCATGGAAATGTTTTTTTTTTTTCTTTTTGAAGTATATAATATATTTATATACAGTAAAACTCACACGCTCCTGAATGCTTGATCAGGGAGGTTGGGATCTACCAGTAACCGAGGTACTGTTGGGTCAGTAACCCTTACAAGTTACTTTTGTGCCATTTCTTAGGATGTATAGGTTACCACATTAATAAACCAGGGTCATTTACCCCTAGTTTGTACATGCAAATTTCAAAATGTTTATATATTCATGTATTTTACATGACTCTTAAAAGACAACATATTGGGAGTTGATAACGATACTGAACGAACAAATATGGCCTTTTGAACTCCATGGCTCAGGTTGAGGACATTGTAGATACAGGAAACACTGTTTCCTGTCTCATTTCTTACTTGGAAGGTAAAGGGGCGACCTCCGTTTCTGTGTGCACTCTCCTTGACAAGCCAGCAAGAAGAAAGGTTCATTTTAAGCTCTTGGGTGACGGCAAGTTCTATAGTGGTTTTGAGGTACTCTTTCTCCCTCTTTCACATGGTAGCTTTTGAATCGAGTCTTTTTCAATCCTCGTTGGATAATCTTTGTGAAAGTTTTACCATTCACAAGAATGATTAGTTTTTTATTACGTATATAGAAAACCTTTGTATCGGGCAACCACTGGAATTAGGTTATCAAGACTCATTTGATGCATTTGTGATATCTAACTTTCTTCGGTAATTCATTTTGGTTAACTTTTATCTTGATTGTCCTTTGCTTAAATTGGGCATATAGACCATGACATGTTAACTACGAATTTAATCGTACAAAAATCGATAAAAATGGTCCTTCTTCGGTCATAATCTCCACCGTTTAGCTTACACTTTTGCCCAAGTAGGGGGTTTACACAAAAAACAGTTATTCTACCCTCTACTTTTTTTGAAGTATATAATATTTATATACGGCAAATTGAACAAATAAACTCACACACCCTCCTCACCTTTGGTGAGGTTTGAACCCTTGACCTCCTAGGAGGCCAAAGACTCATATACTGTTAGGCCAAAGGCCCTTTGGTTATCCTACCCTCTACTTGTATGTGGGATATATTGGGTTGGTTTTGTTTATGTTTGGTTTCTTTGAGTGTTCTATGTAGCGGATGGTATTTAGCTTCTCGACATTTCAACATGTAATTTTTTGTGTTTTGACAGTGCCCGGACTCGTTCGTGGTGGGGTATGGACTGGATTTCAACGAACGGTATAGGAACTTGCCTTACATTGGAGTCTTGAAGCCTGAAATGTATGAGTGAACAAATATTTAAGGAGTGATTAATTTTCTGAACATCTTACTTGGTTATTTATTGTAAATAAAATCATTCCTATGAAGATGTAATGCAAAAAAACCCCTTCAGATTTGGCATCTCTTGTCAAAAATCACTTGTTGTAACCACAAGGTGTGCCTGATTGGTTTGAGTTTGGCTCCAAAGGTCAAAAATACCAGGAGATCTCAAGTTCAAATCCAAGGAGGAATAAAAATCCTCTTGTAGCCATGGAGGTTCAAATGCGGTGGCTTCGGGCTATTTGTAAAGCAGATGGTCGTCCTGGGATTAGTCGGCTCGTGTAACGGGTTATATATCCAGGTTAATGAAAAAAAAATCACTTGGTGTGTGGTCTCTAGGCCATTCGTGATGCTCATCTCTAGTATGGTGCTTTTTTACATCTTTACAAGAATGGTTTTTTGTTTACAACAAAAAGACATTTAATCACTTCATTTTTTGGGGTGCCTTTGGTAAATAAGATACGATAGGACAATACATGACAAAATAAAAGCTTGTTTTAATGTTTTCCACGTTTGGCACGACATTAAAATAGGATAGGACGGAAGTGGGTGCGATCAAAATCACCAAATAGGTGGAATAAAAATTAGGAAGATAAAACTAGTTTGATAAATTACTAAACTATTTACATCAAATTAAAGCCCTAAAATCTTTCACAATTTTTTCACCCACATACATACCTCACTTTCAACTCGCCTATTTCCGTCCATGTAACAAACACACACTTTTAAATATGTGGTGCGTATTTATATATAAACGAGAAAACCTTCATTTTATGAGAACGTGAGAACACCCTTATCACATGTGATAATACACGTGAGGGGACCTTATGATGTGCGGACGACGTAATCTACGACTTAGGTTGCGCAATTGGCTGTCTGCGTCTATGATTTAGCATCACATGTGATGGTATTGATAGATTATAGTATCAATATCAACAACATCGTTATCACATGTGATAATACTTGTTTGGGGGTTTAGTGGTGTAAGGGCGACTTGGCCCACAACCATGATCCCATCGAAAATCACCGCATCTCTAATTTAGTATCACATGTGTATCATATGTGATGGAATAATAGTATCACATTTGATTGTCTATAGTAAAATGGTGTTCTCGCGTTCTCGTAAAATGAATATATTCTCGTTTGAACTCTTCCTTATATATATATATATATATATATATATATATATATATATATAGGGGCCTAATCAAATGAGAACTAATTAGTTTGTGGTAACTGTGAGAACTAATATTAACCACAAATCAATAGATAGGCAATTTTGAATTAAAATATTAATGCAAG